AAACTTAGACTCTAAACCATATTTCTTGTTTGCAATATAGAAAGCTTTCATGCATGTTATTTTTTTCATTTTGATGAAGGGCGGATTTGATGAGAAAACAACATAGCTCCCAAACAACATCTCAGCTAAAGGTGAACCAACCTGTAGTTAGATGGTTAGGAGGACAGTAGTATCCCCACACAATAAAGTTCAAGTTCTAGACTTGACATTGGTGCTCAAATTTTCCTAGATTTATTTCAGGGCTTCCGGCGATGTGCGTTTAGGGGAGGAGACGTTTCAGTCGACTATGAATGCGTATGTGGCGACTTCGTCAATCTCAAGATGATGTGTCGGCTCAGTCTCTCAGAGGTGCTCATAGGGATAGGGTGTCCATGCCTTCATTGAGGTGAATGTATATGCGTATGTATGAGAGTCTACGTATGTGCTGTGTTAAAAAAAAACATCAGCTAAAGCTCATGAGTTGCTAAAAAAGCTAAAGCTCATGCAACATAATATATGTCCTTGATTGCAGTAATGACTTCACTGCTCACACACGCTACTACAAGTGGTACGCTACTACAAGTGGTAAGAGGGGTGTCCGTCAGTTGCATGTCCATCACTAGATATGCAACTACACACATCCCATGCAACCTCAAGGGGTACAACATTCTAAGCTGGACCTGTGGAGGGAATGTCTTGTTTCTCTATGGTTCTTTCAGAAAAAAGAAAAGAGCATGGGCCAGTTGCATGTCCACCCCTCAACATGCAACTCCACTTGTAATAATCTGCCTGCAATTGCGCATGGCATGGTGCACATACCACACTAATGGTAATGGAAGGGGCACAACGGCACATACAGCTGTGGCGGCGCTTGCATTTTTTATCACAACATGCATATCACGAAATTATAAGGGGCACAACGCGACTGCAAGCTGGGGTTTCATTTGAAGGCTTTCCCTGAAAAAAACATCACATGTGCAATAAATAAATAAATCTAGACTTTGGATCTGGTTTAAAAACTAGACTTTTTGTCCTGGGTTCTTTTCGTCACTTGTATATACGTTACAACCTAACAAGCAAAATAAGAAAAAGCTCAACCTAGATAGTCCTAGAAAATATTGCAGATCAAAAGGCCCATCCCAATTTGTTGGATGCTCAAGTAACTTAGACGACAGCAATCCCCGATGTTATGCATCGATTACTGCGAGATGAAATCATGCTCGTCTACAGAGATCGTTGAAAGTGGGTCGATCCTGAGGACTGGTTCACGAAACCTTCCACCTAGTTTTGGCCGGTTTTGAAAGGTTCTACGTGATTATTTTTCCTTTTTCTATTATTTGTTTTTCTCTATTGAATTTCATCGGCTTTCCTTTTTATGTATCTTTTTTTCCTTTTTATCCTTTTCTAAAATACGTGTTGAGTTTTTAACATGTGTTAAACATCTTTCATATACAAACCGAACATTTTTGGATACATGTTGTTTAAATATACTATTAACAGTCCGAATAAATGTTGAACATATGTAAAACGCACATAGTACATTTTTTAATGCAGAATGAATATTTTAAAGAAGAAGAAAATCTAGATTTTGGAATTGGTTTAAAATGCCTAGATTCTTCACCTGGATTATTTTCGTCACTTGTGGATACAACATAACCCAACAACAAAAAGAAGAAGAAAAGCCCAGCCTAGATACAACCCCGGAGAAAAATGCGATCAAAAGAACCCTACCAATTTTGGCGGAACGCTCAGTCGATAACTTAGACAACAACAACACACTAACAACACAAAATCAACATATGACAAGGGAAAAAAAACGTGGAGATGGGAAGAAACAAGGGTAAGGTCATTTTTAATGTGATTTAATTAAATTTCATCTACATACACCCTAAAGGGGCCCTATACATAATTTTGAATACCTTCGGGGAAGAAGGATGTCACTGGAGAAGTTGCAGATACGAGAAGAACAAGGGGGCTAGTGCGGTATCTCAACCGTGAAGTCCCCGTTTTCTTTTATGTTTCATTCAGTCTGCCGATAGGTTGCTACGTTCACTCTTTTAATAGGTTGATCTTTGCACCTTGAAGATTAGCATACCAAAGGAGTGGATGTCAATTTAGTTGATGAGGAAGGATACATAGGATTGAAGTCCCAACTACTACTACCCAAAATTACCGTACCTAGTATATTTGTTGGAACATATCACAATGGCAAGATATGCTTTATTTCTAGGGTGTGTCTAGGGCACATCTAGATGTGCTCTAGTTATTGCACATCTAAGTGAGTGAATCAAGCATAAAGAGAAAAAGAAAAAAGAGAAAGAAAATATTCACATGAATCTTAATGTAAGATCAATGACATATGACTTAGATGTGCAATATTTATGACACATCTAGATGTGCTTTAGCAAAACTATTATTTCTATGTTTTATTCAATAATAGCACAATTATGATAAAATTTACATAAGAGCGAAACCATGGCAGGAGCTCTGACTTAACATCGAAGACTTGCACTGAAGGAGCTAAGCAAGAACATAAACATCCACAATACAATGTTTATATTCTGTGGTGCTGCCAAAAGTTTTGAGTACATAGTTGATAACTTTATAGTATATCATACAAAATTGTTCCTCTGACAAAGCTATGCTACACATATCTGACTCTGTACACGATGTTCCGCCGGACGCAGAGTCTGCCCTTCTCTCTGTCTCCCACTGGATCATGCCATCTCCCTGACATGCTGGTATGCTTGAAGACTTCGGCTTCCCTTGGCTTGATCATGCCGGTCAAGATGTGCATCAGCTCCTGTGATTACTGAAGCTTGGCTAGTTCCTGTGATTGCTCTGAATGCTCATCTGCTCTCACACAACGCCCTGTACTGAAGCGCTGGGAAGGATGTTGCTGCTGGGACAGCATTGCCTCTTCCTCTCAGGCGCCGATCCGGTTCCGCCGGCCGCCGCCACCTTCTTGACCTCGCCGGAAGCAGACGACAACGGAGGAGAAGAGTTGTTCTCGGCGACGCGCTTCCTCTTGAGATGCCCAGCCGGGAGGATCTGCTCGAGCACGTAGGACGGCAGGTCCCTCCTCCGGGTGTGCGAGACCTCCAGCTCCATCCCGGGCCTCCAGAACTCGTACGTGTACACCTCCTGCTTGAACCCCTCCGTCGTCACGCGTAGGTCGAACGGCACCTGGGGCTGCTGCTGCTGCTGTGGCTTGGACAAGCCCACGAAGAAGGTTGACGTGCAGTGGAGATCATGGGGTTTGGCGGCGTAGGCTTTCGGGTTGGGATGGCAGAGCAGCATGCTTGCCGTGGCCATCTCGACCCTGTTCACCAGCTGCCTCAGCCGCGACTCCACCCACCCCTTCCACTCCCGGAGGTCGGCCTCCCCTCCGGCGACCTTCACGTCCACCTGCAGGTAGCTCTTGTACGCCTTGAAGAACTGGAACGGCTGGAACAGCGCGTCCCACCCGCCGGCGCCGCCGCCCTTGAGGATCTCCTGGCAGATGCCGTTGCCGATCTGGAGCTGCTCCGTGATGGTCCGCAGGGTGGGGTGCGAGACGTTGTAGCACGAGTTCATGCATGGGTAGGCCGGCGTGATGACGGGCATGATGTGGCTCTTGTCGCGCGGGTTCCGCCGCGGGTCCCAGACGGGCAGCCGGAGCGCGAGCTCGCCGCCGTCGTCGTGCTCGATGTCCCGCAGCAGCACCGGGTTGGGCCACTTCCACTGCGCGAAGATCTTGAAGAAGCGCGGCACCAGCATGCTCGGCGCGGCGTTGGGGTAGAGCTGGCACACGCGCGCCACCAGGATCGCCCAGCCCACGCCGCCGAGGAACCCCATCACGTTGGAGTAGACGCCCCGCGCCTTGGCCCAGTGCTTGATGCACCGCAGCGTCGTGCGGAAGGCGCCGGCGTCCGGGACGAGACGCAGGAGCTCGTCGGCGACGCGCACGCCGTTGAGGCTGCGCGCGGAGGCCAGGTCCATGCCGCGGAAAAC